ACAAGGACCTTTAGAACAACCCTCACATGCGATTGGGGCACGTTCGAAGCGAAGTCAATACATGTACCTGTATCCTCACGCAAGGGGGGTTCAAGACCAACAAATAAGTTCAGTAGCTTGTGGCACAAATGCTGACAGCTGGCAATCTTGATCTGATTCCAGGTCCGTGTTAGCTTCGACATTAACCCACACAAGAAAAACTTCTGCTTCTTGCGGGCAAAGGATCCTCCTGACGTTTGCTCAGCCGGTCGTCCAATGCCTCGCGGCACTATCCGCCGACCCCAGCCGGGGGCGGCGTTAGTGAAGACCCATAGTGTCGTCGCATCACCGCCCCCACCTGCCTCTACACTGATCCCCCTAGCCCCCACCTTGGAAGTATAGATTTTAGATTTTAAGGGCTCCACTGCATGCCCAAGCCCCCGCCGCCCTCACCGCCCCCACCGCCCTCACCGCCCCCACCGCCCCCACCGCCCCTACCTGCCTCTACACTGATCCCCCTTGCAGAGGTATGCCACTCCCCACGGCAACCCAATATGACTTAATCATGACGGCTCTGCCGACATCCCTTTCCGTAATTTCGAGATGGACGGACATGTTTGGAGTCTCGGACCAACATGCCATGGCGAGTGGTGTTCACAATTGCGTTGTGGGATGTTGTGGGATGTTGCAGGCCCCTTGCCTGGCAGCAGCGGTGCTTCGAGAGGACGGTTGAAAGACTGTCTGACAGCTCCTGCCTGCCGTGACCGCGCACTCGCAATTACACGCACTGCCACTGGCACGTCTCAAGCAAGCGCCAAGGCACGGGTCCCCTCGCGAGGCCACGGACCGCAGCAGCGACAAAGCAAACAAGGGCCTGGCGAGGGCGGCGCGGGAGTAGAAGGCAAGATACTTGTAGGATGCTTTGGAGAGGCTGTCCCAGCCACCTCTCCGGCTCCTCTCGCAGAGCAAGAGCAGATGCTTCCTTCGCCAGGGACACGTAGCTCTTCTCGGAAAGGTCCTGAACGAGGTGCAGCTGGCACGGAGCCCTCACTTAGGCTTCTTTGGCACCTTCAGCAACTTGAGCAGCACGTCCTTGTCTGAGGAGTCCTCACAACTGTGAAGTTCGTTGCTGACAGCATGGCTGTGAGACACACGTTGCCTTGAGAGCCACTGTAGCTTTCTTTTCCGCATACTGCCACTGTTGGCCGCCAAGTAGTGCCAACTCGATAGCCTGCCAGGTGGCGGAGGACATTCCAACGAAGCAGTGACACCCACAGATTCCCGCCTGATCCAGCAAGAGTTTCTGGACTTGTGCGACTTCTGTGGATTCTGCCAGCGGATTCGCTGCATACCGCTCTGGCCTTAGAACCGCTAAGCCAACACATGACATTGTTAATCATCCTCCTCACCGTGCCCTGACAGCCGTCATGATAAACCGGGCATCTCGCAAATCCTGCTCCAGCTGCTTGGTCAAGAAGCTAACCTGCTCGGTTTTGCACTTCGAAGGCATCTCAGGAATCGAAAAATGGCGAGAACTCGCCTGCCGCAGCTGCACCGACATGACCGTCACCTGAAGCAAAGGAAAACTAAAGGTGACAGTAAGGTTGCTGGGAGCATCGCGTCAGCCTGGTGGAGGAGGTACATCACCATCCTTCGTGCCTTACAATCGCGAACAATATATCACACGGAATCCGCACACGAACCGGAAACACAGCTTACGCCGTGCAACGGCGCAGTATTTGCATGTTCAGAAGCATCCCCGCCTTGGAGTACCACGGAAGTTGCCTGGCGCGAGACACCCCTGCAAGCTAGGCAAAGCACGACAAAGACGCCAGCAAGAATTCCGGCCTCTCGGGCTCAGGGAATGCTTCCAGGCAGGTGACGCACTTGGCAACCGTTGAGAAGACAATCTGGGGCCTTCCAGTCACGTCTGAAAGACTTCTTTGCGCAAGGCACACCGAAAGAAGAGCCACGAGTGTGGCATGCGATGGCATAATGTGGCTCCTTGTGCGGTAGCAGAGCAGGCCAGCCTTGAAAGGGGAGAAACTGCGCATCCGACGGCAGAACAGCGGCCGAGATTCCGACCAGCAGCTCCAACGTGAGCGACACCGCTTGACAGGTGAGAAAGCGGGACCCGGCACGTCGCCTCGGGAGCATGAGCTGGCTAGTGCCTGCTCGGCCTGTGTTTCAACTCTTGGCTATGGACGCGCAGTCGACTGCGAGCATACACTCGTTGACAGCTTGCAAGACTGCCTCAGCGCCATCGAACTCAGTGCGCGCGGGCTGTTGCCAGAAGTTGCACTTTAGGGCTCGAGCCCTTTGAGCTGGCTTCGTGCACCTTGTGAGAGTGCGGCAACATATCATCTCGTTCTGCCCTCCCGTTTTCATGTATCTTGGTGCAGAGTGTATCGGCATTCCAGATTCGAACAGGCGGCGGGAAAGCAGCAGCACGTTTACCTGCCACCGTGGCCTCGGGGCACACATCTCATAGTGATCATGCTCGTAGCCGCTGAGTCACCGAGGAACAAGCCTGCGCATTGAGCCGATGTCGCATAAGCACCTTGCAAAATTGAAAAATACAAGAGCTACAGCCAGTCGCGTCTCTCAAGACTCGGCGTCACACCACTTCCACAAAGGCCGCTAAGATTGCCGGCGGGAAACGATCGACCACATCAAGGCGGAGCCTGTTCTCTCAAGACTCTCTCGCCTGCGCAGGCAGAGAAAATACGAGTCTCCGGCTTGAAGGCTCGGAGCCCGTAGGAGTCCAACTCCTCTCCAGTTTGAGGCTGCAGCTGCCACGTCCTATCCTTTTTCGCGTCACTGCGTGTGATGGCCTCATCTGGAGCGCAGCGCTCGCAGAAGGAATCGAAGAGTGGTATCCAAGCCTTCTTCCTGAAGTGGCATCTGCACATTGCTCGGTGTCATCAATGAGAACCGAAGAATACCGAAGATGTGCGCGTGCTCCGGAAGCTGCCAGTAGGGAGAGGGCCAAGCTTGTGCCCCCATCTCGCCGGCAGCCAAGGCGGCCTCGAATGGATGCGATCTAAGAGACCGGACATGTCCCCATAATCCCGCCGTGCACCCGTTCGGCCTTGCAGATCTTTATTCTGAGCATTGCGATGGGCAGCGGGTAGTAAGATCCAATGGGCCTGCACGAAAGAAGCAAATTCTCGCTCCTGCCTGCGGCCAAGTATCATGCTGCCAAGCACTGGACGGGCTTGTTGCACTCACAGCGGACAGCGCAACGCGGTTTGCCTCAGTGCACCAGCGCGGCGGAGCTATCGCCATGGTCCACACTCCAAGCAATGGCCTCGAAGCCCTCGTGGTACCTGCCGAGCTCCAAAGAGCGCGCACCAGCTGAATGCAGCTGACCGAAAGAAGCTTGGGCACATGGTGGCGAAGCAATAGTTTGTATTCGGCTTGAGGCCAGTAACCTCCACCAGCTCAAGGCCGGCATGTCGAAAGCCTGCCATTGACAAGGGCAGTGACGATGAGCCTTTTGCCATGCAAACTGCCAGGCATGCCTGTGCCATGGAGGTCTTTGTGCATCTCGGAGACAGATGTTCCCACACCGGCAGACTTTCCAAAGAGGGTACCTAGCTCTCCGTCCAGCACTTCCGGCAGTATATCACCGCATCGCCAAGAGTCAGGCAGGTCATGGAGGTCTGCGACGGCGAATGCATACCCAACCGCTTTGAGTGGATGGCTTCCCTGTACTCCTCGATACGAGCAATGAAGCATAGATGACTCACTGCTGCCGTACGCCAGATCGGCAGGGCCTCTGGTGCCGGGTCGAGGTCGTGCGAGATGGGCACGAGCGGCCTCGCATCGAGAACGACGGCCGGAAGCCTCCCTGCTCCGAAGCTTCTCAAGCTCAAACAACACATTCCGAAAAGCGACGGCACCCCCAACCACCTCAGAGTGGACTCCCGACCATCACCCCACAAACAGGCTGGGATGGCGAAGACACAACACACAAACCACCAACCACACCGGACCAACAACACCAAGCCATCCATCCGCAGGGCGATGAAACACATCGAACATCTCCGAGCTGGCACAGCCACCACAGTCACACAGCTGCTATGCACCATGGAAGATGCCGCTCGAAGAGGCGAAGGGACCTGTAACCCTCAACTTAACCTCTGCTTGTGGGTATGTCGCTGCGCTCATGGCAACGCTGCTGGCAAAGCGCATGACCTTCTAGGACCAGACTGCCGTCCGTGCAACAGCCACCCACGCCAAAATTCCCTCCTAGCAACCTTGAGCAACGACTCCTTCACCCACGAAAACTTTTCCAAGGCAAGACGACACGTTCATGCTCTATGCCAAGTCTGAAGAAATCAGACCTCACGCTCAAGTGGAAACTCCGCATGGTTACTGCAGGCTCATACCACGTGTCACCTGCAATCATCACTAGTGACTTCAACAGACTCCATTGCTTTCGAACACAATACCTCCATGAAAGAAACCTCACAACAAAGGCACCTCCGAAAACATCCTATGAAATTCGCATCCTCGCCCAGCAGCCTGCCATCACACACTACATGGACGAAGCACCCACCCCCTAAACTTCACGCATAGTCTACATGAGATCCCATACCCCATCAAAATGCCTTCGACAAGAACTGTTGTTTTTACATGTATCTTCAAGACAGGGGAGGTACAATAGGTTACGGGCAGATAGGCGCAGGCTGCATTGGACAGTTGGACAGAATACGTACAGCACGGCACTGGCCTGTACAGTCCGACAGACTCTTTCCAAACACCTAGATTTCCCGCTGCAAAGTGCCAACGAGAAATACTCTAGCCACAATTCAATTCCGACTCTGTTACTTCACCGAACGGAACCGTCTCCTGCGGTCAGGAAATGCCAAGAGTTGACCCCCTCAGCTCACTGCGGCGGCAGCCCTCCCATAAGAGGTGGCAGACGCAGCTGAATGCATCCTTCGAAGCATAGGCTGAAAGCAAGGGAGAGACTCGCTGACGAGATGGCACCACCGCCTGGCATTCGTGCAACGACGACTGGAAGATGCCTTAGTCGATTTCACTACTACGTCAAGCGCCGCCCCGGAATGCGGAGACTTCAGACTCAGAGATGCGGGCGAGCGAGGCTTCCGTTGCATCCGGCCTGCTCTCCGGAACTCCTGTGGAAGCTCTCAGGCCCTCAGGCTGTATGCTGGACTTTGCTTTCATACAAGCCGCCAAGTCAAGGCCCCCCCCCCTAAATTGCATGCAGCCTTGCAGACTCTCATGGAGGCTCCTTGCAGAATTGCTCGCTCCGTCGGACACCCAGCTGCCTCGCGAACAGGACATGACAGAAAGCAACAAATCGTCGAGAGAAAGGAGAAGAAAACTTTCCGCAACAAAGCCAAGAAAGCTGCTGCCGCAGGAGTTCTTGTTCTTGCTGCGCCCAAAGGTTTCGCTCCTGACTGTGATATGGTCTGAGCTTAACCTTCACCCCAAATCTGCGTGCACCTGTGCTTGAGGCCCTAGTTTTCTGTCGTCAGTCTCCTGAGCCACTGCCGAATCTGCTTCGATAACGGCCTGAGTCCGAGTGCAAGCGCGTGGGTGCTGCGGTTTCCATCGTACCTTCCCCGCACTCTCTGCCCTCCGTGCCTTGCCCAGGGCAGAACCTGCCACTTCGGGCCTGGCAGGGGATCCCAAGGAGAGGCGCTACGTAGGACACGGCAAGAGCCACTGGCACCTTCTCGTCGCAACAGAGACGAAGAAGAGACATCTGAGATACGGGTTCTCGCCTTCAAGTCGGAGCTACCAGAAAGAGGCGAGCCACACTCACAGCTCGCGTCTGTGGCCGCTGCCAAGCCGGCCCAGAACGTTGGCCTCTTGAGAACTCATCGCCAACCTTGGCACACCCACCGGGATGCCCCCTATCGCCGGGCAGAGCTCCCATCGGCATCGATTTTTTGCTCCCACGAACGGAGTGCAGGCCAGGAGCCGCGTCGAGCCCTCTCCTGCGACTTGGATCGGCTGCTCCTCACGCACCTCGTTGGGGCGCAGCCTCGGCACTGGCAGTCACTGGCACACTGCCGCCGTCCACGACAAGCCAGGGCCCTGACTTCCTTCGGACGGGTGCCTCTGGGTTGCGCAGGTGGACCACCAGCCTCAGTTTAGCCACAGGCACGACCATGCGCGGCCACGCACGGCGTGGAGTGGGACTCCGACGAACACTCGATCCATCTATCGTAGAGACGCTCCAACAAACAGAGCCGATCCTGCCGCGGGCTGCTGCAGGCTGCTGTACTCCCAGACTTAGCTTACGCGTCGCCCGGCCCATTCGGCCTGCTGCATCTTGGGCAAACCCTTTAGAACCATGGCAGCCTCGGTGTGTCCGGCGGTTACGTTAATCCGTCGACATACTGCCCGAGGCCGGATCATCTGCATCGCTTGCAGTTTCACGTGGGCTCTCCTGCTCACATGCTCTTTCAATCGTCGTTCAAACTCGAAATCACCCCATGCATCCTGAACCCTGCTCGCCGGACTACCAGGCGTCTTTGGCCTCTCTGGCCTGACAAAGTTGTAAGATGGGGAGCCCAGTAATGCTACGAGTACTCTCCGAAAGTGCTGGGGGCAGGTCTCTTCGGCATCTTGAGATCCTGCGCACAGCACGTCCACCACATGCTCCGGCCAGCCCTTGAACAGCTTCCGGGGCACTCCTTGTCCCTCCACCGGGCTCGGGCTCGTGAGGGCCTTGCTGAACAAGGCGAAGCCTGGCGCCCGCAAGGATGGTGGATCAAAGGACCTCAGCACTCAGCTCCGCTCTCAGTCAATCAAATGACGGGACTGAACGGACTCAACTTCGAAGCAGCGTGTCCAGGGTCGGCACAGTGCCCCAGCTGTCTGAGCATCGAGCCTGACACACCGCACATCACGCGCCGAATCGAGAAGTCTCTGCGAGCCATGGCGGCCTCGCTTGTGGCCCTGCCGTGGCCACTTTTGCGAGCTCCCGCTCCAGTCGAAGAATCGCACAGCCTCGAGGGAAAGACGGCGCGTCGGCGCAAGCACAGTACGAGAACGGGTTTCCCTTACACTTCTTTCCTAGCTTCGAGGTCTAGCCTCAGCTTTGCACTGGCCTACTCGTGTCTACTGCCCATCAGCAAACAAATGCAAAGCACCCGTGGCGGGAACTGTATTCCAACTCGCACAATCGAGGATGCTTGATTCGTGATCTCGCCCTGACGGAAGATAGGTATCCCTGTTCCATTCTAGCAAAACGATGCCCCCACTCAAAGCTCGATCGAGCGAGACAGTCTTGAAGTGGACATGTGCTTTTCGGGCAAGGCCAGCTCGGGCGCCCACCGAGCTCCTTTTGAGCATTGCGGCTGTCGCCTTCCTGTAGATACAAGCATGGTTCGATGGATCCTCTCCACGGAGCACGCTCGGCGGCGATGCTACAAGGCTGCCAAGCTCCTGAAGAAACAGTCGCGCTAAGGCATAGCCAGCGCTTCCCAAAGTGAGTGCGTCGACCGTCTGCACCTTGTGAGACATACACTGAGAGCAAACCTTGCGATGCAATTGCCCGCCTTTTCCAGGGTGCGGAGCAAAAATGGCATCACCCTGCGCAGAAGGATGCACATTGCAGCCACTGCCAACACTTTGACGCATGCACTGTCGTGCACCTTCGCAAGACATGCGACCACTCAGAAATATCATTCTTCTCCCTCTCATGGAGCACCTGCCATTCATGCTATGCTGCTGTGCAGAGGATTGTCACTGCTACAACAGAAGGTTCAACATGCCGTCGGCACACGCTCCTTCAATTCATGCTGTTGCGAAATGTCCTGGTCAATTTTGAGAACGATACCAGTTTCTAAGAGGTGCAACAACAGCATGGCTCCTGCATGTAGCATATCTTTGGCCACGCAAACGTCAAAAAGACATACGCGCACAAATCCTGCAGAAGCATCGAAGCATCGATACGAGAGCGACGCGTCAAAGCTTGCTGCGGAATGGGCCCAGCCAGGCCGCGGCAGGCCTCTAGTAGATCTGGCGCGGATAGAAGAAACCTGCGTTCTGCTGTAACGGGCCCCCCCCCCCCACCTTGCAATGTTAAGGCGTGTGGTGGTCTTGGGCGCCCCGGCAGCTGGCCCTGGGCTTCGCCCAAGGTCCGCTCCATGCAGTCCGCCAGCTCCAGCAGCCGGTCCATGATCTCCAAAGTGCGGCTTCAGCAGATTATGCATTATAGCACAGGTCATATCATTCCGCGCGATTAAGATACAAACTAGCAGCGAGTAGGGTGCCGCCTCCGGGCGCTTCCACCTTCCTTTGGGTGACGTGGCTCCGGCTTCCTCACGGGCAGACAGCTCGAGTGCTCGCAATGCTTCATGGGTTGGCCTGGTCCGGATCAGCTCCTGCTGCGGGAGCCTGCTGAGAGTCTAAAGTATCGCATCGCCCAAAGGCTGGAGAATCTCTGCGCGCACCGGTGCTTCGGAGCTGAAGAAGTCATCGCCACCGGTCTGAGCAGGTTCGAAACTCACTGGGCCAATCCCAAAACAGAGGGACAATCGTGGCTGGAGCTCCTTGGCCTTCCACAGGCTATGTAGGGCCTTGCTGCAGAAGCACTTCAAGAAGCCAGCTCTGCACAGACCCCTGGCCCCGGCACAGTCCGAGTCCATTAGAGGCGATTTTGTCTAAAGCCCGCCAATCACTTCGCTCTCCGGAGCGGCCAGTGGTCATCCACAGGATATTGAAAGCCAGAGGTCGGCAGATTCGCCACGTTGACACTGTGCGACTCAGTGGCTCATGCTAATTATTTAATTTAGGTAGTATTGTTAGGGGTACCCCTTAAAGAGAGGGTCTATATCCCCAAGGGCCCCCCTAATCCTAGCTCCCATTATTGCAGCGAAGTTGCCAACAAAACCTCTTGCCATAAGCCTTAGGGTGAGCCTTCGCTGCACCACACGAAGAACAAGCAGGCGCGAGAAGATACGTTCGATTGAACGAGGCCACCTTCAGTTCTGAAGGATCGGTGAAATGGAAAGATTCAGGAAAAGTCCAATGCCTCCAGCTGACTGCACATTTTCATACTCTTACACATCGGGACCTACAGTACCATGCAGTACCAGTGTCCGGTCAGCCAGCCTGGATTACAGGCACTGGACGCTTTGCTCTTTCAAACTAGACTTTGCGAAGCACTTTTCTCGGTAAGGTGTCATGTTTGTGGTGTCTCAACCCGTACTGTAGTGCCAGCTTTTCGTCTCTCGGATGCTGGAACGCACCACCCTGAAGCCCACCAGAGCCTTCGCTCGCTCGGACGCGGACTGGAGGCATGCCGGCCCACCGTCCGATAAAGTAAGGGTCTATGGGCCTGGGGGCTGTTTTTCTTGCGCCTGAGCTGAGAGTTCAGGACAGCGAGCTTCAGCGCGGTCTGACCAGCAATTAATCACTGGATCGCTTGGGGTGAAACGGCGTGCAAATTCTGCCTGCTCTGAACAGAACTGCTTGCGTCACGGAAACGTTTTCGCACAGGCCAAGAGTGTCCAATCATCAAGAGTTCACAAAAGGAGACTGTGCATAACAATCGCGAACTGGTGATTTGACACTCTTTGCGTTGGCATCCATGCCACAATTCTGGTTGCGGCAGGAGCCCCCCAACCCATAACATGCCAAGACACCGAGATGCTTCGCATCAGGAATCGAAGTTGAAAGCATCCTTCCGGCTTGCCTCACATGCATCACACTGGTCAATGGCAAACGCTTGCTGTCCGGCACGAATAACTGGACCAGGTATGAGCATCAGGTACCTTCAAGGAGAAAGATCTGAAGCGGCAGCTTCGGCTTCCATGCCGACGAACTTGTGGGACATCCTGAGATGCACGCTTCGATGCAAGTCTGATCCAAGTCTGCGCGTGAGGCCAATCTTCACCTGCATGCTTGGTGTGGCAACAGATAAGCACCAACGACGAGGATGGCTTGTGCCGATTGTGCCGCTTGTGCCAGGCTTCAGTTCCACGGCGGATGGTCTGTCATCTGGATCCTGGGGTTATCCACACGGAGCACACTGAAACAAGTTGCTTCGGTACAACAAGACACAGAGGCTTGGAGATGCGTTGAACACAATCCGCTGCATCTCTTCATGCCCTGTTCCAGCCGGGTGTCCAGGTTCATGGACTTGCACACATAGTTCGCCAGCTCCGTCCTGCAGGTCATGGTCTGAAGGAGCCTTATCGTTGGGACATCCCTTTGAAGCGTGCAGGAGCACAGGTGCACAGCTTCTTTTAGCACCCTGTCTTCATCTCATCCCACTCGGACTCGTCGCCAAGGACGCACGCCAGACCCCACGTCGCCGGCCGAAGCTCCTGTCAGCACACTTCCGGCTCTTCCCGCTCTCCATCTCTCGGTCGCCCAATCAAGTGGTGAACCAACTCGCTCTGGGTCTGGCTGCCGGCACCGGCTCAACAGAGGCTCTGCCAGCACGGAAGAGGTCAATATTCTACAAGAATCAGAGGAGCCTGCCACGAGTCTATAATATGGAATCGCTTTGCAACTCACTCAGATCGGCTTCCCAGTCAGTCCTTGAAGCTAATGTTGGGGGCGACACCAAGGCGCTGAACCGGGAAGTATGCCGGGGAAGGAGTGTACAGCTGTCCTGGCAAGCTGGCAGTTCGCCTACACCCTTCAGCACCAAACTTGACAAAACAGTCTTGGAATGTTTTGGGCCGGGCTGCTGATGTCGAGTGGGCTTCGTCGAAGAAGCTTCTCGGGCAGTCCACTCTTGGAGTTCACGAGGCCAAGCGCTTGCGCCAGCATGTACTCCACCTGGAGATGAACCCGACAGCCACAGCTTTCGGCAAGGAAGCTCTGACAACACCGACAGCCCCGGTTCAGAGGTGGCGACGGCTCGGACCAAACGATCATGCAGCCACGCATGAAAGCACGAAGCCAAGCAAAATCACGAGTCATGGCTCGACACTGGGAAACTGCTTCACATATCTACACCTCGGGAACATGGAACATCCCCAGACATAGTACATCTACGAAAACATCTTGATTCTCCATCCCAATGCTTGTCATCTTGCTCTGAGCCACTGTATCTTCCTCCTCATTCCACATGTTGCCTCGGCATGCATTCGATCAAGAAATGACAGCCTCTACCTTAGCACTACGGCAGTACATGCATTCCCCACGAGCCGTCCCCCGCATGGAAAGACAAATCTTGCACACCCTACACAGAGACTGAGACTGCACACTGTCCTTGACGCATCATCACTTCTGACATATTTTCACATTACACGAGAGTTCCGCAACGCCATTGGGGTTGCGCACACACATTCACAAAGGGATTGAAATCAAAATAGCCTTCTGAACAACAGGTGCGAAAGTGGTAATGCTGGCGCCGTCTTGGCAATACCCCCTTAAGGAGAGCCTTCGTGGATGTCACTGCAGATGCTTTGACTCCAAGGAAGGTTCGAAAGCTCCACGATAGAAGGGCTTGGAATGGGATGGGGACTGCGCCAAGCATCGTCCGCAGTAGAGCTCGAGCAGGGCGACCGCGTGGCCCCAAACATCGGCTTTGTCCGTGATTGGGATTCGCAGCATCATCTCAGGCGCCCATTTCCCGATGTGGCCTGGCAGAGCTTCAGAGCAGAGCGATCAAGAAAGCGTGCTATCGAGTTCTGAGCTTCGGTCCTGCACCACCTTCCGCAAAGCTCCAGTTCCGCCCACTCTCCAAGCGGCTGTCCAGCCGAGAACAGCCTCAGGTCCACAACATTCCACACCAGGCTGGTGGGCTGCAGACCTCTGGGCTGCGCACCAAAATCCACCAATCGAACCGTTGGCTCCCCTTCATCCGTCTTTGTCCACATGAAGTTGTCCGCCTTTCACAACCGCTGTTCCCCGACCGAACTGACAGGAGCCTGCATCCCAGTAAATTCCTGCTGCACATTGCACGAGCACGAGCCTTCATGTCACAATGCACGACGCCTGCTTCTGCCAGAAGCTTCAAGCCGCGCAAGCATCCGACGGCAACAACCCGAAGATTGTCCAAATTCTTGAAGTGCATTGGATTTGTCCGGCAAATCTCCTCAGCTTGCAAGATGATCAGAGACGCCCTGTAGCACGGCTTCTGATTTCACAGACGCATCATCAGGCCACCCAAACCCTTGGGGTAGCATGGTGGCAAGGCACGGTGCAGTTTCGCCCCTCGAAGAGTGTCTCCACAGTGTATCCCACCTCAGAAAATTGAGGCTAACCACCAGGAACATGAGGAACCATGATAGAAAGCAGCCAACAGAGGTCCATGCCATGTCGAAGAAAGCTTCGACCAGCCTGTGGCGAAGGAACCAGGCTCCAAAAATCAAGAATCCAACGACAGCAGAGCACGCCTGGAAAAGCATTTGAACTCAGGGTCCACCGATTCTATGCGCCGACCGATGGTGAGCAAGTCCTCACACACTCAACGCAAGTCAAAATGCCCAAGGCCAAGGCCATGCTAAGTCTAGAAAGGAAACTTGAAGGTGCACCGCCAACTGTAGCGAGTGTCCGTCAGTAGTTCGACAGTCAGCCCATTGTGGCGCTTGATGCAGACCTGCAGTGCGAACATGCTCTCGGACAGGTCTGACCATGGACAGCTGCTACAAGTAACACCACATTCGCGACTCTTGGCTTCACCTTCTCGTTGGTCTCCACGTCGGTCGCGAGATATGCACGCGTGAAGTGCCCCGCGCCGATGGCATGCTCGATTCTGTACCTCCCACGCTCCAATCATGTTCTGAGCACCCTTTGCAGCAAATCGGCACCCCGGCTCTCTCTTCTCTCCAATTCAATTCCCCAAGCCTGAGGGTTTCTATGGCCCTCCAAACCGCCCCCAAATCCGGCCTCTTGCGCATCACTTCTCCAGGATAGGGCCGGTACTCTCGCGTGCACTGGCGAGCCCACTGTCCAACCAAGCCAGGGTTCACGTGCACGTGAACGGGGACCTAAGGTGCTCGTCGTAAGATCTGCTCCTATTCACTCTTCCGCACTGAGCTTCTTCTTATGGGTTTTGAGGCGCCGTCCCAAGCGTCGCCAATGCTCGTCGGGTCACCTGAGAGCTCGCGTTTCAAAGAGTGCCCGCTTTGTTCGGTGCTGGGCACCCCCGCCGTCCGCCGAAACCGGTCCACAGGGTGGCATGCGCGGAGGCCATCGTGGAATTGGGTGCGAATTCCATGCCTCGTGACGGGGGATCAGGCAATAGCCAACAGTCTGCGACATCCTTCCCGGAATCCGCCTGGAGCAGGTCCATTTCTTTCCATCTTTTTCCCTCCTTCACTTTTACGAGTCTGTTGGACTGCATGAAGGACCTGAGTTCCGTGGCACATCTGGGTGCAACATGAGCCAACCGAAACGAATATGAAGGAATCATAGGCTGAACATGCTGAGCCCGCAACGATTCATAGTACCAATCCATGTCTGAAGGGTCGTGGTGGAATTCCACCCCCTTGTCGCAAGCCTCAGAAAGGTTCCAGCACAAACTCCAGAGTCCCTGGCCTGCTCAGCGTGGCAATACGAGTAGAGTAACCTCGCTTTCAACTTTGACTTCTTCTGCAGGTGTCGGCAGGGTTGCAGTGGAGTCGTCCTCCTGCGAGCATCAACTGCTTCGGGTGGAAGCGCATGAGGACTCACGCATTCAAGGATCCGCCCATGTCCTGCATGCCTTCTGCAGTGGCCGTTGTGGCTGTGGTCGTCAGGTTGGGGTCTTCCTTCAAAGGCGCTTCGAATGCAGAACCAGATGAACACAAGGAATCTGATAGAAGACCTTGCTTGGAAGCTTTGCTCTCCTTGTCTGGTGCTTCCTCGGCCGCCGGGTCTGCTGGGCCGGGCTCAGCAGGCTGCTCCTGATAAAAGAGGCGAAAGGCCGCTGAAAGCACTTTTTGGACCCTGGCCTCCAGGGCCTCGGCTTTCCCTTCGGTGGAGGGCTCTTCTGCTTCTTTGACTACCTCCCACTCTAAGAGCATCCCAAGAGCTCGTGCTTGTCGGACTTGAAACCCTCCCCGAGGCCCCGGGGCCCTGGCCTCAGACTCCTTGATCTGCGGCTTTTCTTCTATTCTCTCGGGAGCACTCTGCACCTTCGGTGTTTGTACTAGTGGAGGCTCCTTGGCCGATGCTTCCAGGGTCCTTGGCTGATGCCATGGATACCATGGATCGAAGGACATGACCCCAAGCCAATGGGTGATTCATCCATGTCTCTGTTTCCCCGTGTCGCTCGCCTGCATTGCAGGCCAAGCAGGTGGCATCTCTCTGCGACGGCGTGTCTACTCGTTCAACCGACGTGCCTCTGAAGTTTGTGGCGGCTGCTCGGCGGAGTCCTCGCCATGAAACACGGAAAGCAGAAATGGGTCTGCCGCCTGTCCGGCTGAGTGCTACAGGTCCCTCCTTCGCTTCCCTGCCCGCAGCTAACTCTGCAGGGCCGCATAGGACATCCAAGAAGTTCGTGACGCCTTAGGGTCACATGCGTAAGTCTGCCATACAAGTCGTCTGCCAGCTTCGACGCGAAACGAGGCCCGGACTAATGTGAGTGTCATCTCGACCCCGATCACACTCTTTGAGCAGCGCGTTCGCCTCTTCGGGGGTACCGCCAATCGAAAGGAGAAATTCGATGCAACCTCAGATGGGATTCAATTCGAGCTCTGAGTCTGCCCTTGCAAGGAAACTTCGTCAGTCCAAGGAGCTTTCTCGCACGAGAAGGCCGTTTGGGTCTGCCAAGGTGGACCTAAACATCCCCTCGACTTGGCAGCGCACATCCTCGGCGTGCGTGTCACTGTCGGGATAAGCCCGATGGAGGCGTGCAGGCACGTGCAACTTCTTCAGAGATCGTCGACATACGCATTCATCGTAAGTGCAAGGCAGCATCCATGCTTCGCACGAGCTGCACCCGCTCCTGACCCGAACGAGGATGCACACTTAGACCTAAACTTATCATGTATGATTCTTGCAGACCTGACACGAGAAAAAACTACAAGCTTCTGCCGGAAATCTGCAGCAGGCGATTCGTGATAAATTGCTGAACAATCGAGCAGGAGGTGCTGTCTCCACCGAAGCCCGAACTAAGCTCCGAAAGGACTTGCGACTGCGATGAGACAGTGCCAGGCTTGGGTGGTGCGTGAGCAAGCATTCATGCAGACAAAGGTAGATAGGTTAGACTGGATGCACATGGCTTGCATTGGTTGAAATGAGAAACGAAGTTGTGCGCTTCTTGCAAAAACCCTGAAACAGTGGACAACGGACTTGCTGCAGCAAGCGCAGTGACACAGAGCACAGCAAATTGGTAAGACCAGCATCATCGACGTTCACATAAATATGCGGTCTACAGACTCTCCAAAAATGAATAGGTGCATACAGGGCGGAAGAACAGGTGCATACGGGGCGGAACATCCCGGCTGCGGGAGAAACAATGCTTGCTCATTCGCAGCCGTGGAAAAGTGCGATTGATGGAGAGCCACACAAGCGACAGGGCGGCTTCCTACCTGCCCAGTCGGTCTCGGTGCCGCGAGTCTATCTGGGGAATGTGGCAACCTTGGCGCCAGGAAAGACCCTTCATCGATTTGTCCAACCTACAACAGAGCTCCACGAGACAAGTACCCCAAATAGTAAGATCCGTATTATCTATATTTTATAATATGTATATATATATATATATATATTTATATTTATATTTATCTATTTATATTTATCTATTTATATATATATATATATATATTTATATTTATATATATATATTACAAACAAATATGAGGACCCCAAAAATAAGAAATTCTGAAGCCGAGGAGCCAGGCCGGACCCCGGGGGCTCAACTCTTCGGAGCAAGCATTTCACGAATGGCTGCGGTTGAGAGGCACACATCAACGGGGCTTAGGGTTTAGGGTTTAGGGCCCCAAATTTGCCACACCGCACCTGCCCTCTAAACCTCAGCATGCATGCTGAGTTCTAGGATTCTAGGATGTACCTCTGAGGCCTGCCAGTGCTACTCTCAACACCCTCCTTTAATGTTCCAACTCCTGTTGCGTCTGTGCCTGATCCCATCCCTACCTTTTCCACTCAGCAAACCCGAGACCATTAGCCCAGAGTGGTAGCGTCGTCGCAAGCTTTGAGAGCAGGCTCGGCTCGGCCCTGGGCTCGAAGAAGCCGCAGGCGACGGGTGACGAGCGACGGACTCGGGGCTTCCACGGCCGCACTCAGTATCACGTAAGACCTGGGAACGTTCCGTTTTTGATGGGGCCCTGTGAAAACAGCACGTGCGCTGGGCCACGCACTGGAACGGCTTGCCTTGGAGCTCCCCAGGAGTTTGCCGGAGGTCTGCCCTGACCAGTCACACAGGAGATGAGCCACAAGGAAAACACAAAGATCTCGCCTGAGTAATGCATTGAAGCTTGCAGTAGGCGGAGATGCATGCACGTGCTTGGTCACCTGTGTCAAAGCCCATGAATTTCGTGACAGGACGTCGGGTTTTCTTTGGCATCTCCAAGACCACTGCAATGGCAGTCAGATCCAGTACTTGATGTGTAGCCATGGAGGCCTCAGAAAATCTTCATCACAGCTGTGGGGGACCTCCACAAGCTCTGCACCGCCGGAGGTACTGAGAGGACGTCTGAATCCATTAGCGGGCTCCATGGAGGAAGCAGCTTCTCGCTGTTTGCCTGTCTCGTGCATGACTGCCCAGTTCGAACGTGTCCTCGCAACTCATCCTAGCGAACCGAGATGGTGCCGTCTGCCTTGGGCTTCTCCTCCGCTTCTGCTGCTGCCTGCGGCAGAGCTAAAGACTCGAGAGGCCAAAAAGACATTGGACTGGGCCTCTGGGAGAAGGGTCGCATCATCGAGCGCAGGCGCCGTGTCCTCGATCCTGAGGGCAAAAAGACTCCTGAATCCGAGCTCGAAACCCCTCGGCCGATGGCCCGCTGCTTCGAGCAGGCTGGGCTTCCGTCTTGCACGCTTTGCCATCTGCGGACCAGATGTTTCGCCTCGGCTGTTCATCACCACTGAACACACCGGAGCATGAGGACTGGGGAGTTGAGCTGAAGGGTCTAAGCATCTTGCTCGTCATACACAGAGAAGAAGATGTAAGGAGTCAAGAGCTTTCCTGGCGAATGCGGAGTTGCAAACTCCGGACTGCTGCCCTGCAGTATCTTCAAGCTCTCGAAACGCTATCCTGAGTTTCCTTGATGCGCATCCACGGGGACTTCCAGCACCCTGGCATGAGAATCGGCGTCAAGCTTCCGGAAGTGATTGAATTCTACCCGACCGCCCGCGCACATGAAGCACAGCAAATGGCAATCCGGCATGTAAAGCCTGTGAGTGATCAGGCCGTCTTTCGTCAGCTGCTTGAGCATGCCCTACACAAGAGGACAGACTTGCACGGCTTCCGGCGTGATTGTGGATCCCTGTAGTAGCTACCAGTCTATCACTCTCACAGGCAACCTGTCGGATCTCTTCAGAGTCCTCGAAGACTTCGAAGCCTCAATCATGTCGCTTCCCTCCCAATTGCCCAAAGCCAGAATTGCTGAGGCTGACCTGAAGAATCTCCAGCACCTGGCAGCTTGCAGCCGAACCCACTGGCATGTCGTAACCAATCAATAAAGCTTGGAGGAAACATCTCTGACATGCCTGCACTTTTGTACGGAGTTCCCATCCAGGGTTCAACGACCTGCCCAGGATGCTTGAACTGCTGGATCAATAGCGACGACCCACATCCCCGGACACGGAAGTAGCCTTGCCATTGATCTCAGCGCGCCGAGGCTCATGTATCCCAATCCTGATGCGAGGCCATGTGCACTGCCGTCTGACGAGCAGCAACATCTCATCTCTGTCAACACCAAACGATTCATCTGACTTCCCGACGCATGTGCAGGAGCTGCTCTGTTTTCTGCCGGAGCATTCGACATCTGGCAGGCACACAATAGTTGGTTTTCGGTAAGGGTACGATCGCTTTGGCTCTGGACGAAACTTGGCAAGGGACGAAAGCCACTCGGAGGTCGCACAAGCGACGGATTGGCACAGGATACCTGCACGTAGCGTCGGTTTCTCCGGGGTCATTGGTGCCTGGTTGGGCTCACTCGGCTGTCCAGCTCTCCCATGCATCGAAGCGCTGGCCCATGATGTAGACGTGCTTGCCTTATGCTTATCGGATCTCATCGTCATCATGGACAGAGTGAAATTGCTGGTTGCCAGCCTCGCTTCCGAGTCAGACTCCCTGCAAAGACAGCTGGTACGTCAGCCTTCCCTATGTGCTGCCAGTCATGTCGAGCCTGACTCGTCTACGTCTGCCGTTGCTCCGGGTTGATTCTGCCTGGGCGCTCGGCGCTCGCAACCCCTTTTCACAAGTCTTCCTCCTGAGATGAGAACGGGGAAAATTGGTTGATGTCGCCGGACAACAGCTCGTAAAGCTCCGGAAGCCTCACCTCAAAAAGTCGGGGAAGCTCCAAGAATCTCCAAGACCAAAGCCATGTCCAGACCTTTTCCGGCTCTGGTTCGCTGCTGACCAACACGTCGACCTATTGACAACGCATGACCACAAGATACTCGGCATGGAATTGCTGTAAGGCCGGTTCATCCACCAGTGGCGGTCGCAAGAAGTGTCGGTAACCTGAATCCATGGTAGCATGACACAACAAGCCCTGGAAACCCCCCTCCCTGTATGGCTCCCGTTTCCACTTTGAGAGGCAGGTCATGGACAACGAAAGCTGCCCTGGCGTTTTCGCTCACAGACCCACCCACGATCTAGAGGCAACAAGTTCTACATCTTAGCAGGCGTCGTGTCACGGACATGCCCACAATTCAGAGGCAACAAATCGTACATCTTAGCAGGCTTGACTCCACAGCCACCCACAAGGCAGACTGGAGCACAAACGCTGGCCTCAGAACACAGCCTGCAAAACCATTCAGCTTCCACCAGCTGTAATACAAAAAACTTGGTGCCGGAGACATGGACATAAAGTGATCTGAACTCTACAACCAGTTTGTCCGACAGCTCACATGCCAATGACTACGTGCATTTTCCATTTCCCATGACGATCCCCAGAGCTAACTTACGCATCCAGACGTCGAAGACATTACGCGGAAGCAGCTCCGGCTGCTTAAAGCCCCTGATGACTTGGACAGCTACTGCACAAGTGCCCCACCCCAAGCCTAGCCAACCCTGTGAAACGTTCAATCCTTTCCCCCCCCTCCCCTCCTCCTTCCCCCCCTCGCTGTCTTGCCTTCGTCTGCCCTTACGAACTAAACTAAACTCAAGCTCCGCTCCGCACAAAAGCAGATGCAAAGGCAGGGACGGAGCCGCAGCGCGAGTGCACGCTCGAGGAACTCGAAGGCTCCCTGGCGGTGGTGCAACCGCTTAGCCCGGCGCTCTCCCCACTTCTTCGGACGCATGCGGGCCTTGGCCCCATCGTTGCCCCGCATCTCCTGCTCAAAGCACATGCGGAGGCGGAGAGAAAGGGATCCTTTGATGCTGTTTGTTGGCTCTGCCGTCCTGCCGCAGGCTTTGCTCCGACAGCCACACGTGCGAAGCCAAAGGAAGGACCTCTTCGTGACTGCGATAACTCGCCAATACTCACCCCATGGTTGCTAGGTTCATTCGTTGGCCTCTTCCAAGTCGTGCATCTTCGAGCCCTTCGAGAAGCCCCAGCCCTGGCCGGAAGAGGCGCCCCCCCCCCCGGCTGCAAGCTTCACAGGGCGAAAGAAATTGCGGGCAACCAATACAGCGAGCCTTGCTTCGCGAGTCAACAGCACTGCTGGGCTTTCTAGTCATTCTAGTCCGGCAGGCACTCGGCAGTCGCAAGCAGGCACCCAGACAAGAGGTCTCAGAAAAAGGAGCGGGGAAGTCCAAAATTGAATAGGGACGCGGCTGAAGAAAAAGACCTACAA